GAAAGCTCTGGGACACTACTCCTGCCTCCTCCCCAATGGCCTTCTGGAAGGTTCACCCGCCTGCTGCTGCTCGCACTTCTGCAGCCTTGGTTGCCCTGGAGACAGCGGTCTCCGTGGCGACAGCAGAGGGAGGACCAGGCAGTGGGTAGTGGGCGAGAGGGCAGGAAGCGGCTGGACTGACAACCCAGCTGGTGTGTGAACCCAGGCTCTGTAGGTATTGTGGCTGGGTTGGAGAGGGGACACGTAGGGGGGAGGGATCCTGTGACCCCATCCTGCCTTAGGGGCTTCTGTGGCAGGGGAGAGGTGGGCAGGTAGTGCCGCTGCATTTGCATTTGCCTTTGCTGGACCCCAACCTAGTCACCCTGACTCCTGACCACCACACCCCCTCCCAACCTGCTGGCCTCCTAGAGCATTTCTATTAATTAACCAGCAGGCCAGCGTAATGGTAACCACTGGCCAGCAGGCTAGCCTCTATCCTGAAGAGCAGAACTAGGCTAGGGCCACAGGGAAACTGGGGGATCAGGAGGGGGCTGGGCAGGCTAGGGGCATCTCTGCCCTACAGCACCCAAACCCTCCAGGGGCTTGTCCTGTGGTCCAGCACCCTAAAGCACAGTGTTTTTCAACTTGTTTTATCTTACAGCACACTTGAACCTATAGTTTAACTTCCAAGGCACACTCAAATTATGTTGATCAGGCAGCGCCTGTGGTTCAAAGGGGTAGGGCACTGGTCCCATATGCCAGAGGTGGTGGGTTCAGATCCAGCCCCAGCCAAAAAAAAAACTGCAAAAAAAAAAATTATATTAATCGAAAAAAATAATAATAATAGCAAGAGTATTCTTATTGTGCTGTTAACTTCTTTCAAAAATAATTTAATGATTTTTAAAGATTTTTGCGGCACACCTAAGATCCTGTCATGGCACACCACATGAAACTTATTGCCATAGTACATTCTCTGTTGATGTGGGGAGTGTTCCTACCCTCACACTCTGGCCATGGGATCATTTCTAGTTTGGGAAATGATCTAGAAGCCCACCTTGGGCCCTCTCCCAAGACCCTGAGCCTTGGCCTGCCGGTCGGGGTGGGGGTCTCGGCATTGTGAAGCTAACGGCATGGGGCCCTTGAGAGTGAGAGTACGGCCCCCTGAGGCCAAACCTTCTGTGTCAGCACCTGGGATTTGGCCCTTGTCTGCGTTCTGTGGCTGGCAGAGGTGGCTGTCGACTGGGGGCACTTGCCTATCCTGTGGTGGGCCACTCAAACCTGCAGCTAAAATCACCTACTCTTACACATTGGAAAACACTTAAATACCACCATAGGTGCTGCCTGATGGGCCCCAGGCTCAGCATGGGCACCTGAAGCCCTGAAAGGCATGTGGCATAGCCAACTGCCTGGCTCCCTGGGGACCAGTGAGAGGATTTCTTCCTCTTTGAAACACACGGAGCAAAGGGGGCTGCTCAGTGCAGCCACCCAGCTGCTACATCAGCTCATGGGGTATTAGGCCTAGAGCAGGTGGGTGGTTCTCCCAAGGAATCTCAGCCCTGGCCTAGGTGGGTGAAGTCACCCTGTGTGAACCTGCCTAGTAAGGGGGAGGCGGTCTTCCCATCCAGCATCATATCTCTCTTAGGAAACTAGAGCAGGGTTTCTCAGCCTGTGGGTCCCAACCCCTTTGGAGGTCAAATGACCCTTTCACAGGGGTTGCCTAAATACATCCTGCATATCAGATATCAGCTATTTACATTATGATTCATAACTAGCAAGATTACAGTTATGAAGAGGAAACAAAAATAATTTTATGGTTGGGTGTGACCACAACATGAGAAACTGTATTAAAGGATCGCAACATTAGGAAAGTTGAGAACCACTGACTCCTCTAGAGGGCTTCCTGAAAGAGGTGACCAGCTACTATAACCAAGAGACAACGTGGCCCTGTAGCTCGAACTTGTGGTCATGGTGAAGGGACTACAAAAATGTGTGTGTGTGTTCTGACATTTGAAAAGAAAACTGGGGAATCAAAACTTAAAAATATTTGTAAAACTTATACAAAAACTTGTAGCTGAAAGTGCTCATATTCCATGTGAAACAAATGCACTCCTGGGCACCTTCAGCACCTAAAAGGGTGCCTGGCCATGGGGCACACTCAGCAATCCCTGCTAGTGATCAGTGTGGGTGCTTTTTTTTTTTTTTGAGACATAGTCCTACTATGTCGCCCCCAGTAGAGTACCGTGGTGTCACAGTTCAAGAAACCTCAAACTCTTGGGCTCAAGCTATTCTCTTGCTTCAGCCTCCCAAGTAGCTGGGACTACAGGCGCCCATCACAATGCATGGCTATTTTTTGTTGCAGTTGTCATTGTTGATTTTAGCTGGCCCGGACTGGGCTCAAACCTGCCAGCCTCAGTGTATGTAGCTGGCACCCTACCCACCGAGCTACAGGCACCACCCCAATGTGGGTGCACTCTGATGTGGCCAGGGGTGCCTTCCTAGGCCAGCAGTGACCTCAGCACCCTAGGGGGCAGGGCCAGAGTGGGAGGATCCTCTCTGGGCTGTACCTTGTAGGGTTACCAGTTGGCCAAGGTCCCCTCAGAAGAAGCTGCCCTTCTAATCATGGATGTCCACTTGAAAGTCCCAGTTCTGCCTATAGGTTGAGAGGGGCCTCCGGATCTGAGGGGTCCTCCAGGACTTCCCATTCTGCACACACTCTTGGAGACTTTCTCAGGGCTGAGTGTGGGTTCTGGGTCAGTAGGGTTTGGAGAGAGGATAAGGGACAGAAGGAGGACCCCTGGAAGGGGGGTTCTAGGTGTACGTGAATTGTGCACAACCCAGTCAGTACGGCTTGCCCTGACCAAAGTCCCTGAGGCCTCCAGGAGTGGTGGATCCCACCCACACCTGCTGGGCCCCTGTGGTGGGGGTGGCAGACTCTAGCTATGGGATCCCAGCAGGTGGCATAACTGAATCAAGAGAAGTTTTTTTTTCCTGCCTCAGGTTTATTTGTCCAAATAGCACAGGAGGACCCCAGCCCCATATAGACAGCAGCCTAGAGGTCACACCAGTCCTTTTGTCTTCATGGCAGACAGATGCTTCTACTCTGGAGCCTTTGTGGGGGCCTGGGCACCTTTGGGAGCCTGAGCTGGAACTGAAGCTGGAGTTGCAGATGAAGCTGCAGATTGGGCCTTCGTTTGATCCTTGGCCTTGGCCTTTGACCGGCATAGCCTGAGACCCTTGGCAATGCATGCACGAGCACACTTCCCAAGCTTGGGGTGGGCGATGTAGGCAAGTCGACTGAGTTTACGGCTGGCACCCTTTGGAATCTTGCTTTTAACCTCCTTGGGCTTTACAAGGGCCTTAATAGCGTCAGCACGTGCACTCACAGCCTTGGCATTGTTGGCCTACATCTTCAGGCCCTTCTTGTTGTGCTTCTTGGCAAAGTGCATGTTCCTCAGGAACTTGAGATCTACCCCCTTAAGAGATTCATATCTTTGTGATGGGGTTTCTTAATGCCATTTCTGTGCCACTTTTCGGGACTGGTTGTGTGTGGTGTGGTTCTTGGACTTGGTCATGTCTGCACTGCGACTCGCAGCTGCCTTTCAAGAGAAGTTTTGAAATGCCCACCAAAAATTTAAAAGTCTGCAAGCAGGATCCCAGCGTGTCACCCTGATTTGTACCTTTCTTGAAGCCAGGTCCAGGGTGGGTGTGGAGCTCAGAGAACCCCTAGGACCTGCCCTGCATCTACCATGGGCCCTCCTAAGCTGGAGAGTCCACAAAGAAGAGTGGGAGTGAGTGCCATTTGGCAGCTGAAGGAACAGCAGCTGGGGGCAGGGCCGCTCCCATGATGGCATCATGGACCCCCCAACAGATAGTTCAGGCCCTTCCTGTACCCAGACCCCCCAGGGTGACAGAGTTGACCTGTCTGTTCTTGCTTCCTGCTGGGCTTCAGGGGTAAAGCTGCTTCTGGCCCACCCTCACAGGCCCTGCAGAGTACAGCAGTGTCCTGACAATGCCACATACATCTTGCAGAGCCCCTGTTGGCATTTTGCATATCCTGACTTGTATCCTAATGACCATCCTGCAAAGGAAGGGCTCTAATTGGTCTAATGGCTAGGGAAACAGCCCCAAGAAGTTGACTAATTTGCCCAGGTCACGCAGTAAGGAGGTAACCAAGGGGAATTTGAACCTGGGAAACTTGGCTTGAACCTGGGCTCTTTTTTTTTTAGAGACAGAGTCTTACTCTGTTGTCCTCGGTAGAGTGCTGTGGCATCACAGCTCACAGCAGCCTCCAGCTCTTGGGCCTAGGCAATTTTCTTGCCTCAGCCTCCTGAGTAGCTGGGACTACAGGTGCCCGCCATAACACCCAGCTTTTTTCAGCTTTTTTTTTTTTTTTTTTTGCAGTTTCTGGCCGGGGCTAGGTTTGAACCCACCACCTCCAGCATATGGGGCCGGTGCCCTACTCCTTTGAGCCACAGGCACTGCCCCCACCCAGCTATTTTTTGTTGCAGTTTGGCCTGGGCCGGGTTTGAACCCGCCACCCTCAGCATATGGCGCTGGCACCCTACTCACTGAGCCATAGGCGCCACCCTGAACCTGTGCTCTTGACTGCCACATGAGGCTGCTCCTCCATCAGGATACAGTTCATGCCTGATCCTAAGACTGGTATCTGAGCCTATCACCCTTTCAGTTGGGGTTTCAGACGTTAGGTCTTAGACCCTCCCTTAACAAGTCAGCTTTGGACCTGCATTTGGTGCTGACCATGTTTAATAACCCTTTAAATGTCCTCTGGGCATTTTGCTGCTCAGGAGGTGAGGCTGAGCTACAGTGAGCAGTTGTTCCGGCTGTGCACTGCACAAGCTCGTCCTGTCTAAAGGACACTTTTCCCACAGCTGCCTATAATATGACTTGAGAATGGGGAAGAGGTGCATTCTGGGCTAACAAGGGGCTGGGTGACATTGGTCAGGGCTGGGATAGGTACCCCCATTGCACCCCTCACTCTGCTCTCTGCTCTCTGCCCCTAGGAGTGGCTAAGCAGGTTTGGCTACCTGCCCCCGGCAGACCCCGCCACAGGGCAACTGCAGACCCAAGAGGAGCTATCCAAGGCCATCGCAGCCATGCAGCAGTTTGGCGGCTTGGAGGCCACTGGTGTCCTGGGTCAGTTCTCTGGGAGTCAGCAGTGGGTACCATTGTACCTGGTCAGGGCCATGCCTCCATGCTGGCCCATGGGCATAGGGAAGTGGGCCCTGGGGCTCATTCCCCACCAGCCTGACGTGGGGAGCGGGAATGGAGCAGCACCTGAGCATGGAGCTGTGGCCAGCAACGTTGGCTCCAGTGCTGGGGAGACACTCAGAATCCCTAGACATGGTACTGGGCCTGGCTCTGATCCCCACCCACCCTGCAGATGAAGCCACCTTGGCACTTATGAAAACCCCACGCTGCTCCCTCCCGGACCTCCCCGCCTCAGCCCCAGCCCGGAGGCGGCGCCAGACTCTGGCCCCAACCAAGTGGAACAAGAGGAACCTGTCCTGGAGGTGGGTGAGTGGCCACTGAGAAGCAGGCCCCAGCCTGGCATTTGGGTGGCTTGGTGTCCAGGTGCTGCCTTTTTTTTTTTTTTTTTTGAGACAGAGCCTCAAGCTGTCCCTCTGGGTAGAGTGCCATGGCATCACAGCTCACAGCAACCTCCAACTCCTGGGCT